CTGCATTTTATTTGCTTTCAACTCATATGACGAGTACAATGGCTGACTGCAGCATTGTAAATGCTTCGTTTTTTTACTCTATATACCTTATTCAGAGCAACAGCATGACAGGCATGAAAGCAAGGCTACAGGGATAGACTTACCAATTTTCCAGTGACATCTGCTGTAAAAGCTCTTAGATGACGTAAGATGTTCCATAGCTTTGTTGTCTGGAAATTGTTTTGTCTACTTAAATCGCTTGGAAATATATTTTTGCTGTTTTTCCACAAAAAAAAAACACTTTAAAAAACAATACAGCCAACTGAAGAGACCTGTGTCTGTCCCTTACAGCCTCGATGTCATTTCTGTTAAAAATTAAAGATGACTTTGCTCTGAATAAGGTCTATAACATGCTGCGGTTCTATGATATCTAAACTCCTTTACTGTAATGCGTCATTGGAAAGAGGGCACATTTTGTTACTTCCATCACCTTGCACTGTGCAATGTTGACGTGCTTCAGTGAGTGAATAGGGATTTGAAGCCACAGAATCGACATACTCAAAATGAAGCAATGTCACCCCACCTGTGACAGGGGTATGTGCAAATCAGGTGAATCAGTGAAAAAAATGCCCCGTGTTAGGGAAATGCACACCAATCAGTGAATGGCCACTGCAGAGAATAGTATTGGTTAGTTTTCCAACCACATTTTGATTTTCACCATGAGCCTAGATTGACCATTTTGAATGGAAACTGTAGCGAGTTGTACCTAGATACATGTTTGACACATTTTTATAATTGTGACTCTTGTGTATAATTTTGCAAAGAGTATCACCTACAAAATTATACAGATCTGTTCCTTATCAAATTAGTAAAGTGTCATTCAGCCAATGATTAGCTATTTTTTCTAAATAATTGTCATTTATTGTCAAAAAATGCTATGCTACACATTTGTTCATTACATAAACAAGACACTACCTCCTCATCACAAAGTTTGAGCGAATCTGATGAGCCTGAAATAATAGACAACAAACAGAAGAAAAGAAATAAGGTGGCACACCATTCACTTCGACATCACATAAGAGGTCAGGGGCTTTTCTACATTGTTTCTAATGCTTACATTGTATCATATAAAGGATTCATATTGCTGTTGTTTCCACATACACCTGAATTTGCTTTCAACAATGTTGTTTTACATTCAATGAAAAATCAATTTAGTCATGATCTGGTCCAGAGCTGTTAAATGTATGACCTGCCATTATTAGCAGTAAATGGTTGATTGACATACATTTCACTACTTTCATGTTTTTTTTTTATACCATTGTAAGTGTGTGTTCTCTATTTATGGAAATATGTTTATAATTTTAATGTGAAATATTTCTATTTAATTTGTTTTTGTTAAATGAATGACAATTTTCTTGTCACTTTTGCCATCTTAAACTTGTATGACATTATTACTTCTGTGGAACAAAGAACAAATATTTTGATGGAGATGTATATCCTTAAAATACACATGAATAAACCACATAAAAGCAGCATAAAAGTTAGAGTAAGTGGTTCAAGTCATTTCTTCTGAAGAAATGTGATTGTAGTTGGTTGAGAAGCACTTTCCTTCTTGACATTGCCAGTGTTTTTGCAAACACTATAAATTCTACAGTGTTCTTGGCACAATGCATGGATTAAGTACGAGGCAGTGTAAGTGAGTTTCAAATAATGATCCAGCTAGGAGACTGCAATGGTAAGCCATGATGTAACTTGGGGGTTATATACTTTGGTCTATTTCTTACATACCCTACACCAGATACCACATAAGGATTAAATTACTAAAGACGTATGGAACAAAATGCTTTTCGACTGCCTTTATATTCTTTTTGGAGTTTGAAAGTTTTAGTACTCATTGACTTGTGTTGTATACAAATAATAACACATCTTCATCAAAATATCATGGTTTGAATTGAATGAAATATACAAGTTAAACCGCATAGGAGTGAGTAAATCATTTATAATAATCTATGTTTGAAGTATTCTTTTAAGTAAAGTTCTCTCTGAAATGCAAACAAAACAAAAAAATTAGAAATGATATCACATATAAAACACAAGGGTGTGTTTTTGCATCCACATTTTTTAATTAATTCCAAATAAATAAAACTGGTCCTAAAGAACTGCATTATCAGTTACCATCACAATATGCAAGAAATACAAGAAGCCTGTACGTTTTGTATTTTTGTTTACTGTTTTTCTTTATATACTTTATGTTTTGACAATATATCGTTCTTTCTTATTTATGCAAAGATAAAGGTCCAGAGGATGTCATCAGCTGCTACCAAAACATTCAGGAAAGTTCGCACCATGTTAGAGGCATTCCATCGGCACAATGTTGACAGGGGCACCATTGCAGCAACAGCACCAATAGCAGAGCTTCAGATTGTAGACCCCAAGACCTACAGCAGCCTGGTGTTTGATCCAGCTATGGAAACATTGCTTGCTTTTGCAAAAAGATGTGCCAGCAGTGTTAATCCTGAAATTAAAAGATCCATCGAAGATCTCCAAGCTCAAGGGCATCTATTACCCATTTTGATGAAGTATTGAAGTAATTATTTGTTGCTGCAAGATTTTGTTCAAGAAAGAGACTGTTCAGTAAAAGTTTAGATAATTGTTTTACATTAAAATAATTATAAGTATCCAGCTATATTTTTTCTTTAGTGATTTTTTGTTTGTTTGTTTTCTTTTCTTTTTGTTATATTCTGCAAATATATTCTACTAGTTAAATTGGTTTGTTGGCTAGTAAATTTTTGAGCAGTGTTAATAAAAAGGACCTGAAGGAGCCCTTTAACTTTAAATTACTATTTAAGATTGTTACAATTAAAACAGTATGTTACCTGTTTTTTGTTTTTTTTTACTAATATTCATTCATGTTTTTATACAGTGTGTTGACTGTGATTATTGAAGATGTGTCTCATCTGTACTTTGTTCTCTTGTTGAACCATAAAACAATAAAGACAGAATTCTTCATCTGTACTTTGTTCTCTTGTTGAACCATAAAACAATAAAGACAGAATTCTTCACTGCAATATTTCATGTCTCTTTTCTTATTGGAAAACAGCAAATGATTACTTTAGAATAGGGAACATAATCTGAAGTAATACTGCATTTATTAGTGAGAAATGTGCTTGTTAGCTATTAATAAATTCAGGGAATGGGGAATATTTAGTTTATAAATCATTTGTTAGTATAGAACAAGTGCTTTTGTGTAACAGTGTTTTTCAGCTAATTTAAATGTCTGATGAAATGCCTATTCTATATTTATTTCATACTTATAAGCTACACATTCACACAGTGTACTGAGAACTTATAAAGTGTGTAATTTGCACAATACAAGCTATTAGTTTGTTTTATTTTTAGCTAATTAGTACAGTGTTAGGACAGAAACAAGTATAAAGGGGCTATAAGACAAAAATAAGACAACAACCAATAAAGGCCTTATAAATAGCTTGTAATGGCATACAAGTCCATAACTAGTCACTTACAAATGCAGTTATTAATCAGTAATTACTGTCTAATTTCTGATCCTTAAAATAAAGTGTTACCAAATGTTTAAACTGAGAAATTTTTCACTTTTATCCACTAAATGAGCTCATTTCAAATTTGATGCCTGCAACAGGTCTCAAAAAAGTTGTCACGGGCGCAACAAAGGGCTGAAAAAGCAAGACATTTTGAAAAGATTCAGCTGGGTTGAAGTCAGCATTTAGAATATTACTTGAGTAAAAGTCTTAAAGTATGTGATATTTATTGTACTTAAGTACGTTTAAGATTTAAAAAATACTTTTCGTACTTAAGTATTGAAAGTAAAAGAGTAAATGCAAGTAATTTACAAGTAAATGCAAAATGGAAAAGAAGCATATATGTATATATAATTCATACACAGCTTGAGTAGCAAGATTGTTTAGTTTCCCAGTTCAGCGTCCCTCTGCGGCTGCGAGAGATCTGGTCTCATTTGGAGGAAGCGAGTGTGACGCCATGGACGACAGCATGTCGTTGGAGGAGCTGTCGGGCTTGTACGTCGACCCCGCCCCCTTGCCATCTGCACAACCCAGCACAGCCAGCACGGGCATGGACGCCGAGCTTTTCCGCGTCCTGTCTAAAGCTGTGGAGGAGCTGGGTTTGGAGTGGTCTCCGCCGGAGGAGCCCACCCGCAGCCGCCTGGATGAGTGGTTCTTGCCGGGGCACAGTCAGGCCCCCCGACAATGAGCTTCACCATTCTTTCCAGAGGTCCACGATGAGATCTTGTTAAAAGCGCTATATAAATAAAGGTGACTTGACTTGACTCATCTTCGTCTGTCCTCACATCAGTCGACGGCGCCGAAGAAAAAGGTTTACGACAGACTGCCTCCCCTGGATGAGTCAGTGCCCGCGCATCTCTGCCCGCCCACAGCCATCGGCTGGAAGGCAAAGGCGGCCCATCCGTCCAAGCCGTGTCGGGCAACTTCGGCTCTCGACGGGCGAGCCTACTCGTCTGCTGAACAAGCGGCCTCAGTGCTTCATTCTATGGCGGTCTTACAAGTCTTCCAGGCCAAGCTCCTCCGTTGCATGGACGAGTCCGGCCCAGACCCCGCGACTTTTAAGGAGCTGCACAGTGCGACCGACCTGGCTCTACACGCCACCAAGATGACAGCGCAGGTGATTGGCAGATCCATGGCCAGCCTAGTGGTGCTGGAGTGCCATCTATGGCTTAACCTCACGGAGATCAAGGATGCGGATAAGGTCCCCTTCCTCGACTCCCCGGTTTCCCCTACTGAATAAGAATCAGAATGAGCTTTATTGCCAGGTATGTTTACACATACGAGGAATTTGTTT